AGGATTCCCGTTTGGAGGATTGGAGTTACTGTAGGCAACTTTTGTTTATGAAATCTCCACACACCAATATTCCAGCATCTTCCTTCTGCAAGACAACAGGGCTGTTTACTGGTTTCTTATGGTAAACACATAATTAAAGCTGGGGGGATGTTTGTGCCAATGCTGTTGGTAAATCCTTTGTGAAAAAGCTTTACCTCAAGTTCCTCTCTGGTTAGAAGTTGGAGAACTGTGTTGATCGGATTGCTGAAGTCGGGCTCCAATATGTTTGGATTTGAATGTTTCCAAGACTTTATCAGGTATGTTGAGATCTCCAGCTGATGGGGAGTCAAAGCTCTGAGGCTGTTGTGCAAATTGCTCGTCATGTTTCTGCAGGTGGTGCTGCAGTTCCTGATGTCCACCACTACAGGCAGTAGGTTCCTCGAGGTCCTTTTAATGCTGAAGGCAGCTACTTGTAAACTGACAGCAACCACTGCACTGAAGGTGACCAGGCTGTTTTTTAGGAGCTACGTGTGGGAGGGAGGGGGGGGGGTAGGTTGTACTATCGGTGGAGACCAAAATAGCCCCACGTCAGGTGCAGCTGCACAAACCGGCTCAGGTTACACCTCAGTCAAAACACTGAGGTTCAGAAACACAGCAAGCTGGAGAGAAAGTGCTCGACTGTTAGTCTCCTTTGTCCTGGAGTCTGTTTTAAATAAATAAATATTTATTTACAAAGTTTAGAGAGTAAACATCCTGGAGGAGTCCATGTCAGTGTGGGGCCGCTGCGTTTCACACAGATGATGAGTGCTTCCCAACATCTTTGAGCTGCAAAGAGATGAAGAAGATTTTAGTGAAGCTGTTTTTGTAAATAACATCTAGTCTCATTTTCTGCCCTAGAATCCATCTTTGTTCTGAATTAGTTTAAAAAGTTATGGGAGTTTTCTGCAGCCGCTTGGAGTAATATCCTCCTGCAAAAAGAGGCTGCCATGTTTTTTCCCCAACAGTTGCTGAAAGATTAAATAATTGGATCACTTGCTAGAAACAGTCGAGTTTAGATGAGTCTTACTACGGTAAGGTTACAAAAATGCAAACATTGATCTAAAAATGCATACCAAAAAAAGTGAGTGTATTTGTCATTATTTGAGCAAGAAAACAAGGTGATATGCCAATGAAATTTATATTTTACCCTTAAAATATGATTTTTTTTTTTCTCATTTTAAATGTAAATAATCCCTTTCCACTGCAAATTGTCTGATTTACTTGCTCAAATCAAGGGAATTACACTTGAGAAAAAATAACCCTGTGGGACTTGATTTTTTTCAGTATAGCATACATTGTTCTTAGATGTTTACTTTTTAAATTTGCTTTTTAAAAAATCAATTTTTTTCTACCCAGCATCCATCTGTTTGTGTTATCTGCTATCTAAATAAATCCCTGCTTTTAGCAGCGGGTCTCAGAGCGGGAAGCCTGGAGATGATGTGAAGAAGGTGATGCGAGCTGCACAGATGCATCATCCTGGCACAGGTGTGATGCCGTAGAAAACTCCAAGCAGCATCTACTTCGTAAATAGATGTGCGTCAGATGTGAACAATAGACT